ATTTAAAAATTTTATTGTACATGTGTTCTTCCGCAGATTTTTTTTGTTGTTGCTTAATACCAAGTTCTGAGATCTATCCACGTTAGTGTGTGGATTCACTCATTTTAAGCTACTGAATAGAATTCCATAACATTACTATACAGAAGTCCCCCCTTATCCATGATTTCTCTTTTCGCAGTTTCAGTTTCCCACAGTCAACCACCGTCTGAAAATATTAAATGAGAAATTCCAGAAATAAACAGTTAACAGATTTTAAATTGTGCACATTTCTGAGTAGTATGGTGAAATCTCTCACTCTCCTGCTCGTCCAGCTAGGATGTGAGTCATCCCTCTGTCTAGTGTATCCACACTGCGTATGCCACCTGCCCGTTAGTCACGTAGCAGCTGTCTTGGTTATCAGATTCAAATGACCCTTGAATGCCACGTTCACATAACTTTTATTACAGTATATTGTTATAATTGCTCTACTTTATAGTTATTTTTGCTAATCTCTTACTGTGCCTAATTTATAAATTAAACTTTATCATGGGTATGTATGTATAGGAAAAGAAACATTGTATACATAGGGTTTGGTGTTATCTGCGGCTTCAGGCATCCACTGGGGGTCCTGGAACGAATCCCCCGTCTATAAGGGGGACTACTGTGCAGAAATTTATCCATTTTTTATTTCTTATATATTTTTAAAATTGATTTCAGAGGAGTAGGGAAAGGGAGAGGGGACGACAGAAAATTCAACGATGAGAGTGGCGTTGATCGGATCGCCTGCCTCCTGCACGCCCCCTGCTGGGGGTTGAGCCCACAACCTGGGCGTGTGCTCTGACCGGGAATGGAACCTGGGTCTCTGGGATCATAGGTCGGCGCTCAACCGCTGAGCCACGCCCGGCTGGGCTCTTTGCTTTCTTGATAGTGTCCTTTTAAGCACAAAGATTTTAATATTAATTCCAATTTATCTATTTTTCTTTGGCTGCTTATGCTTTACTACCCTAAAGAGAAGAAACCATTGCCTAGTCTAAAGTCATGAAGATTTATACCTGTGTTTTATTGTAAGAGTTTTAGCTCTTACATTCAGGTCTTTGATTCAGTTTGAATTAATTTTTGTATGTGGTATGAGGGTCCATCTTTATTCTTTGCATGTGAATATGCAGTTGTTCTCAGCACCATTTTTGTAGAAAACACTATTCACTGCCCCAGTGAATTGTCTTGGCACCTTGTCCAAAATTAATTAACCATAAATGTATGGACTTATTTTGGACTCAGTCCTATTCCACTGATCTATGTGTCTAGTCTTATACCAGTACCACATGGTCTTGGTTGTTGTAGCTTTGAAGTAAGCTTTGAAATCTGAACGTGTGAGTCCTTCTAAATTGTTTTTCCCCCCAAAGTTATTCTGACTATTTGGGTTGCTTACATGTTCAGAGGAACTTTAGGATTACTTCGTCATTTTTTGGAAAAAAGGCAGTTGGAGTTTTGGTAGGGATCACATTGAATTTGTAGATCAATTTAGGGAGTATTGCCACCTTAGCAATATTAAGTCTTCTAATTTGTGAACATAATCTTTCCATTTATTTGGGTTTTCTTTAATTTTTTTTAATGATGTTTTGCAGTTTTTAGTATACAAAAATTGTCAAAGATATTCCTAAGTATTTTTTCCTTTTGGTGCTATTGTAAATGAAATTGTTTTCTTAATTTCAGTTTTGGATTTTTCATTGCTAGTGATAGAAATAGAATTGATTTTTGTTTATGGATCATTTGCCTCCAAACTGTGTTTTTCTTTTCATTCAGGTAGTTTCCTGAAATCTCACTTGTCATAAAAATTCTTCTAACTTTATTCAGCTTGCTTATTCCTTTCTTGAGGATTTTTTTTTCTTAACAAGCAGGCTTGAGTTGCATCAATACTAAGCTATTTCTAGTCCAGTAATATGCCTTCAAACATTTGAGTACTTGTTAAACGCATCTGTGAACAAATTGTTAACCACCTGCTTTTCTGTATGGTCTGTACCAGCTAATATCTTACCACTGTGGGCTGGTATTTCATTAAAATAGAGACCTAGAAAGTTTGAGAATGACCTGTAGAGAATTCTCCTGCCAGCTCCCCGCTCCATCCCTCACAACTGATATGTAGGAATTACAATTCTGATCTGTTCTGAAAAACACTCAGTTTCAAGTCAAGTCCCTACTCCTCCTTGCCTGAGTTGTCCCTCATTGTTCCGTTACCTACATTGATTAGTCGCCTGCTCTGTTCTTACAGTGTCACACGCCCCATCTCTAAAGCTTTGCCCGAGTCCCTGATTGTAACTGCGGCTGAGGCCGATCTCCCATATCCCTTGGCTGATGCTTTGGTGCTCTGGACTACTCAGCTAGTTTGATTTCTTCTCTGACTCCTGCTTCTTGGGCATTCTTTGCACTAGCCTTATCCCAGCCCCTCTCAGCCTGCAAGTGTAGTCAGCCTTAGTGAGCTTTTTGGCCACGCTTGCTTTCTCATTTTGCAGTCTAAAACTTTGCAATTTGTGACGCCTTGGTGGGTCACAGATTATAGGGCACATACAATATTAAGAATAGTGATATTTCTATTGCCTCTTAAAACTTCATATAAATTCCTTTGTACAGTTTTCTTCTGTACTCTGTCTCCTCCTTGCCCCAGTGCCTTCTTGCTAGTGAACTGTGTGTACTGAAACTTTTCTAACTACAGAAACTACAGTAGATAATTTGGTAACACCTTTTAGAAGGTATTTGACATTCCATCAAACTTGGTAAAATGATTTTAGAAAATTATATTACCATGTATGTGATTTTTTCTTTTTTAAAGAATAGTTTATTGATTTTGAGAGAGAGAGAGAAACAACGATCAGCTGTCTCCTGCATGTCCCCCGACTGGGGGTTGAGCCCACAGCCTGGGCATGTACCCTTGACTGGGAATTGAACTGGCAACCTCCAGGTACATGGGATGCTGCCAGGCAGCTGAGCCACATCAGCCAGGGCCATGTATGTGTTTTTTGATGATGATAGTTACATTTGGTCTTCTAAATTTTTCATTGTCTACATGCTAGTTTTTGCCATTGGGGCTGCTTAATGTTTTTAGGATGTTAATGGCATGGGAGTCATTCCTGTTCAGAAGTCAATTCAAATTTATAGAAATATGTAAATGAAATGTAACTACCAAATTTTAAAAAATGGGTTTCAGATGCTTTGGGGTGATTTCTGTCTTTGCTTGGGTTGGACGTGAGAAATTTATTCCTTTTCACTCTGTTCCAAGAGGATGTGTAAGAAAATAAAAGTTGCCTGGCCGGGCGTGGCTCAGCAGTTGAGCATTGACCTAGGATCCAGGTGATCGGGGTTCGATTCCCGGTCAGGGCACATGTCCGGGTTGCGGGCTCGATCAATGACTCTCTCATCATTGATGTTTCTCTCTCTCTCTCCCTCTCCTTTCCTCTCTCTGAAATCAATAAAGATATATTAAAAAAAAAGAAAGAAAAGAAAAGTTGCTGCTATTAACGTTATTTGTAGAACTTGTTGCTGTTTTAGCTCTATAGGATACACATTAGAATTCAGTTAGCTGTGTTTTACAGAACAACAATTTATCAAATCCTAATTAGATAAAGAGTGTAATTTTGTATGTGGTCTTTGCTGGTGCTAACAGTGCCAGTGCAGCAATAACTTCATTGATCTCTCCTGGTGAAATGTTATTAGACTTTCAAATAAATGGTTCTTTTAGTGCTATATTTCTCTTTGAGTAGTTCATTAAAAAGAATATTCTAAGAATTTTAAATCACTTTATTCTCATTTTGAGCTAGGTGAGTCTTTCTAAGTCAGTTTTTCAGGTTCATTTTCCATTCAGAGCCTTCAAAATTTGAAAGTGGAAAAGACCTGACACTTAGCCCATTCAGTACCCTCACACAATTCAGAAGAACTGCCACAACTAGAGGATTATATGTGATACAAATCTTTTTGTGGTCCAGGGTCTATAAATAAGAACTTAAGAACTATGAGGAACGGAAATGTGTTGTGTGTGTGTTGCCAATCAGTGTCCCAAAATGAAAGCCTTACAGGCCTGAACTTGGGCTCTGCTTCCTGTGTGAAGAGGCCCCAACCCCCCATTCTCACACTCTGAGCCTCAGTGCTCCGACTATTCCCATAGTCACACATGTCCATTCAGGCCAGATAAGGTTGCAGAGGATCTGTGAGCCCCTAAGAGAGAGGTATTTAAAACATTTTTGTATCTAAAATTATTTGCAGTTATATCTGTAAATCACATATGGTCATTTTTTTCTTTAAAAAGAGTATTCCATAGTCTTTTATGTTTTAAATCTGATGTAAAACTTTGTCTTCTGTCTCTTCCATCCCTTCCTTTCCAACCCAGCTTCCCAAAGGCAAATTCTTTGAATTGTTTGTTCTTAGTAACGGTTTGCTCATTGCTCTAACCAGTGAGCAAAACCTGCTAGGGCTATTGGTTGATTCTTGTATGTGTCCTGACCAGGGAGGGATCAAACCTGCAACCTTAGCATATGGGTATGGTGCTCCAACCATCTGAGCTACTCAGCCAGGGCCCATCTGCCATTTAAAAAAAAAAGATATATGTTTTTATTGATTTTATTGAGAGAGGAAGGGGAGAGGGAGAGAGAGATGAAACCATTAGTTATGAGAGAGAATCCTGGATCGGCTGCCTCCTGCAGGGCCTCTACTGGGGATCGAGTCTGCAACCTGGGCACATGTCCTGACTGGGAATTAAACCATGACCTCCATGACCTACTGGTTAATGGGTGGACACTCAACCACTGAGCATCACTGGCCAGGCACCTGCCATTTTTAAACTGTATTTCTTCCTTTGAGGCTGATGTAACTTAATTTTATGATATTAATTTAAATGAAAAGGTAAATATGTAAATTTAACATTAATTAGTATGAAGAAAATATTGAATGAAAGGTTGATTTAAAAAAAATCTCTCGTAATATCCAGATAGATAATGTGCTTTGTAATAATTCTTTGAATTTTATTTGTGTAGAAGAAATTGAGGAAGAATCTGAAACAACAATTGAGGCTGACTTGACTGATAAACAGAAACATCAGTTGAAACATAGGGAACTCTTTTTATCGCGCCAATATGAATCTCTGCCTGCAACACATATCAGGTAAGAACTTTTTTAGAAGTTGATTTGAAGTACTCAGTAATATTGTGACAATTAAAAAACCCTGAAAACAATCTTCTTTGAAGCATTTTCCAAACTCTGCTTGTGATCTTGCTCCAATTAGTTTACTAAATACTTTATAATGGACTCTTATCTTGGAAATTTATGGTGTGTATTAGCATATTAAAGCCCTGAGAATGTTTTGCAGTAAAGTAACCACTTAGCTTTATTTTAATCATGACTTTCCCAATTTATTTGGTTATCTGTTAGCATCCTGCAGAAAAATGTCCAGCAGACATCAGTTTGGGAAATACAGGTGTTCTCCAAAGTCCTAGAACATCATGGGCATTAGCATCCAAGAACTGGGACCCAAGATCTGGTTCCCAGGCAGACCCTGTAGAGTATATGGCCTTTTATTTATTTATTTCTTTGAGGACCTCTGGGCTGAAAACTTTATATTCTTTATTACTTACTTGCATCTGTTTGTGCATTAATAGGTTGCAAAAGTGAGAAAATTCAGTCTTGGTTTATAGTTTGGAAATTGTGGAGGAATGATGTTGATCTTACATGATTGGCTGATAGTGGAATTTTAAGCATGAACATAGGCTGTTTCTCAGTGTAGTCTAATAGATGCATCTTGGAGGTATAACAACATGTTTGAACTCAAAAAACAGGTAGTTACTGACCCTGAGGGTCAGGAAAACTTCAGAAGGAGTTGCCATTTATTCAGCTTTTGAGAGACTGGGGCATGTTTCAGGCAGAGGAAATAGATGAGCATAGGTGTGTACAGGGAACAGCATGTGTCCAGGGTGATGGGTGTGAAGAAATGCAGTGTTTTTGTCTCTTCAGGTTAAAGAAATTCCTTCAACTCTTGTTCACAGTCTTTATTTCATTTATTCAGCTCTCTACTAGTCATGGGTCTCTTAAAAACTATTTATATATGAAAATAAAATATATTAACTCTTTATTTCAGTAATTGCCCCTCCTCTTTAGCCCCCAATGTCAGTATTGAATTTAAGTCTGCCTTTTTGGGGTCAGGTTTGGAGAGTTCCTAAAGCT